CTCTATAAGAACTTTTATTTTCATTATTATAAATTTCACTTTGTATTTAAAGGTAGATGTCCCTTCTTTAGGGAGTGAATAGAGAATAAAAAAGAGTTTGATCTTGTGAAAAGATTTTGGGGTGGATTGTCTTGCACACCTAGAAAAAGGGTATAATTTTATTTTTTCGATTTATTATGAGAGAGGGTATCATCTTGTTTTTCTAGTTTATTATTTTTCCCTACATCTGTTAGTATCAGAACCTTGAGATCCATGCTAATCACAAACAACTATTGATTTAATTTATGGAGTAATCTTAATTTTCTTATTTATTATCTTTCCATGTATCAGTTTGTATAAGAACTTTAAAATCCTTGCTAATCACAAACAATTACTGATCAAATTATAAAGTAATCAGGAAACAACTTGTGTCAAGATGGTAGGGGCTAAGTCCAACGTCTTAAGTTCCATTCCTATGTGTAACCTTGCCAAAAACATAATAATAATAAATAAAGTATAGAGTAATCTTATTTTTTGGTTTATTATCATTTCATGCATCAGTTAGTATCAGAGCTTTGAGATCCCTGATGGTGACAAACATCTACTGATCTAATTATGGAGTGCATAGATCAAATATTTGAGCAATTAGATTAAATATTTGAGAGACTCAAAGAAGACTTGATAAAACGTATCAATAAAGTGTACAAGATCTATTTAGTAGATTGCAGCAGGAGGAACAAGAATATGAAAAAGTAGATCTCGATACGAAACACCAACCCAAACATGCAAGAAATTTAAAAGTCAATTATGAAGAAGAATATATGTGTGATGCAGTATTTGAAATCTAAATATGTGAATCTAAAGGAAAAATTAAATATTAAGCTTTAGATCTCAGTGTTCTACTTTATGTTGCACATAAAGTATTTGAAGAATTGGTTTATTGAAGACAAAATGCTAAGAAGAATGTTTGGACTGCATCATCAACTTTTGAGAATGTCTCTGAAATATATTTAAGTTCAACAAGCTCGATGTCAAGCTTCTGCCAACCTCAAGAGGGTGATACAAACAAATAATAATAATTATATATATATGTATATATATATATATATATATATATATATTAAGAATTAGAAAATATGTTATTTAGAATTTCAATTTTCTTTTGGGTTGTACTTGCCTTTTTAAGTTGTAGATATTTAAGAAGTAGAATAGGTTTTAGAGATTTATGGAGTAGATTGGAAGTTTTCTTCTTTTTTTTTTTTCTAAAGATGGATATAGATAGGGATCAACATGGTTGAGTTGGTTATAATATGTTGGATTTTTTTAAGAGATATGGGAGATATAGAGTTTTAGTTTGTTATTTTTATTTTGGGAAAGGTTTTGCACTTCCCCTACAACATAAAAGATCTATGCTTCCCCTATCATCTAGCCGTCCAATTTTGATCAAGAGAGCCACTCACCGTTTGATCTGAGATCCAACATCTCAAAGTATTTTATTTTTAGTTCTTTTTATACAAATTTTATGAATATAAAATTTTATACATGTCATATTCTCATTGGGGTGCACCTATAAAAAAATATTAAAAATAATTTTTCTATAAAATATAATGACCAAAATACCCCTTGAATATTTCAAGGGTATTTTGATCATTTTATTTTATTGAAATTATTATTTTTATATATTTTTTGCTCGTGCGAGTTTAATAAAGGAGTGGACATACAAAGTTTGGTATCAAAATAGCTTATATATAAAAAATTAAAAATAAAATAATGTAGAAGCATGACATTATGATTAGGGCAATCTTAACCCTCTATTCAGAATGGACGGTTGGATAAGGGGAAGTATATAACTTTTATGCTGTATGGGAAGCATAAAAAGCTTGCCCTGTTATTTTATTTATTATTCTTTATAGGTTTGTATTTATAAACAAAAATAAAATAAAGATAGAATACAAAACCCTATCTTTCATTTATCTTTTAAAACCCAGTCTAACATATCCTAACCAACTCAACAATGCTAATCCCTATCCATATCTATCTTTTTTAGAAAAACTAAATTATCATATTTACCTTTTAAATATCTACAATTAAAAATAGACAATAATAACCCAAAAGAAAACTAAAAATCCAAATAATATATATTCTAAATCCTAGAAAAGTATTAAAAAAAATGATTTTCTATTTGCAAATATAATCATTTATATGAGTATTTGAAAACTGGTTGGGAGCCATGGGTGGACGGCAATCAGGCGTTATTCTTACTGATCAAGTTCCTGCAATTTCATATGCAGTGAGACAAGTTCTTTACCAAAGTAAGCGTCATTATTGTAAGTGGCACATATTTGCGAAAATCAAAGAAAAAATGTGTCATGTCTTGCGTATGTATCCTTTTTATTCAGATACCTTTAAGAGGTGTGTGGCTAGCCCAACAATTGAAGAATTTAAATGGGGATGGAAATCAATGATTGAGAATTATAAGCTGGAAGACAATGAATGACTCAATAGGCTTTATGGTTGTCGCATGCAATGGGTTGATGCATACTTAGCTGACACGTTCATTGCGGGTATAGCCTCTACTCAAAGGAGTGAAGGGATGAATACACATTTCAAAATGTACTTGACACCCACAACAAGCTTGCATACATTATTAGAAGTTGTTGCAAAAATCTAAGATAAGAAGGTACGACAAGAGACGAAAAATGACTAGAAAGATATTCAAACTGCTCCAGTCTTGCGAACAACCACTTTCATTGAGTCACATGCATAAAAAATTTATACTCAAAATATTTCAAAGATATTTAGGGAAGAGGTGGCTAATTATTTTAATTTTACGAGGGAGATAGTTGAAGACAATTGATAGGTTGGTACCTTTAAGGTAGCAGTCTTGGGGGTTGGATCTAGACCCTATCTAGTGAAATTCAATTGCCATGACAATTTTGTTTCTTGCAGTTGTCACTTCTTTGAGAGGATGAGCCTCCTTTACAGGTATATATTGAAGATTTTTATGGTGAAAGATGTGTTTGAAATCCCTCTACAATATATAATGAGGCGTTCGACCAAGGATGATCAAATTCAAGTAACATTTGAACTACCACGCTCCATTAGATATAATGAGGCTATGCAGGCAAGTCAATCCCTTGTCAAACATGCTTCACAAAGTGTAGAGGGCCATGAGTTTGTAATGTCCATAATACAAAATAGAATTCGTCAGTTTGATGAAAAGTTTGTGTGCAAGAGAGAACCACATGATAATGTCATGAGCCACGTTAATGAAGATGACAATTCTAGTAGTTGTAGTAACACATCAAGTGGAAGTAACCATTGCCGCAATGTCCTTGAACCTGCACGAGTACGGACAAAAGGACGACTGGCCACTAAAAGAATGAAAGCTCGTTCTTAAGGATGGAACTTGAAGACAAAAAAAAAGGAAATGCGCAGTCTGCAATGGCAGTTGACATGACAAAAGGAACTGCCCATCGTTCGTTTGTGATAGGTACAGCTGCATGCTTTTTCATTATTTTGATTTGCAATTGTATTATCTTCATTATTGTTGATGTATTTGATTTACAAATGTATTAGCTTCAATTGAAATGATAACATATGAATTTATCTTCCTCTTACAGGGCTAAGAAGCAATTGTTGTGAAGGCATGTTTGTAAGTTCATTTTGAAACATTTTTATATGCGTATAAGTTCATATTTGTACTTTTATTTGGAACACTATTGTCACTCATCATAATGTATTGTATATGTCAGACAGATAGGACAAATTCATATGGAACAACTTCAAAGGAGGGGCTATGTTGCTATTTTTTTTTTGAAAAGTTTGTTGTTAAACTATTGGCATTACTGATGTAGGTTGTGTGGTATTCACTGAAAAAAAAGATGTAGGTTGTATGCCATTGTACTCTTTTCGCTAAACTTTATATGAACAATTTTGTTATTGAATGGACTACCCCATTTGGCAAGTACTTGATGAATTGTATGTAATATTACAAGTATCAAATGCAATGCATTATCACTATGGCAATAATTTATCAACCTGTTTCTTAAAAGGTTTTTAGATGAGTAGAATATATGCCAAATTATTATCAGATGCCATATATTATCACTAGAGCCCGTCTCGCTGATTGCGAGTCTTTCAATTCGTTAAGTGTACAATCCAAGTAATGGTGTACTACATGTATGGAGAGAGAGAGATGGACGTGCACATATGTGGTTTTAAAAAATTATGGTATCTGATTGGGTAATGTATGCCTCTTTATTTCACACCCATTTGTGAAGGACACATACAGAGCAATCTTGGGAGGTTCAATACTAATGTTGTAACTAATTTTATAATCGATTCAATTATCTCTAGTCTCCTACGCTCAAATTATAACCGAATCTAATAGCAAGGCGGAGCATGACAATGGTGGCCTAATATTAGTACTAGGGTGTATACAACCCGGGCTTAGGTGGAGTCATGCTTGATTGTAGACCCAGTGAGCTTGATAGACCCTAAAAGGGGTTTGGAACCACCCCATGCCAAGCCGACCTTCAACGCCCATCGGTACCTATGTTGAGCTGTGCCACAAGGTCGTAGCCATCTCTAGTTTGAGCTCCATAAAATTAATGCTAACTTTTTATATAGGCTAAATTGCTCTGAAAATTTATTATGTTATATGTCCAAACTTCTCAAAACATACTAATTTTAATGCTTGAAATCCATATTTTTTTAATCCATAATTATTGAAATGATTGATTTGAGGTAGGTTTTTTTATCATCAGAGCGATAGTTTGAGATGAGGCTATACCTTCGATCAGAAAGCCTAGGACTTGCATTAAAACTCAACAACTTTTTTTTTTTCTTTTTTTTGTGAACAGAGTACTCAACAAGTTTATTAAAAAAACACCTAGCATTCAATTTTTTTTTATCAAAAGCACTTAGGAATATCAAATGCTTGAGAGAGAGATTCAAACCACTTATGAATATCTTATGATTGAGAGAGAGATCCAAATTACATTAATATACAAATATACTAAATTGAACATTATTGTTCCATAGAAGATAGAGAAATATAAGTGTATACAAGTATAATTACATAGATACCATAAAACATATACCCATTCTTTTTACAAAAAAAAAAGGAAGGCAAATATCAATATCATAAATAAAATTACACATATAAGAGTAATTTTTTGAATATCTGTTTCTGAGAGAACATAGCAACAGATTTGCGCTTCTCTTTTTCAAACAAAGATGCATCTAATCCATCAGATGTACAAGTATATGATCTTTGAGACATGAACCTTTTAACCACATGCTTCCTATCTTCACCTAGAATTTCATCACATCAATCTAGATAGCCGCATCCAGTCTCATTCTAGTGGTTAACACGATAAGATAAATGCGTGTTAGATATATGCTTACAAATAAACACCAATATGCTTCTACATTATGTTAATAAATGAACATTATATAATTTCCAGTTAGAGCATTTATAGAAATGCTTATTGTAGTTATCATGTGTCTTTGATATAAACACACGCATCCGACCACATCTTGGTTTGTGTTAACAAATCCTTGGAGGGAATTGATTGTCGAGATCTATTCTATAAAAAACTCACAACGAATATATTAAACACTTCGTCACAACCATTCTTAATCCATTTATCTGAGATGGTTAACAATGGGTAACGCACCTGATAGAAATCATAAAATTCATTAGGAAGAAAGAAAAGCAGTTTACATTCTTGTCAAATTCAGTAAAATTGAATATTAAGAGTTTCATAATTAGATAATACATAAAAGAAAAGAGGTTATTGGGATTCCATAAAAAGTATTCCATCTAAAAAGAGGATATGCATTTGTGGTAAAATGATTTGTGGCATTCCATCTAAAAAGAGGATATGCATTTGTGGTAAAATAGTTGGTCAGCAGCAACAAATTAGACCATAATACAAGTTCAAAGAAAGATGCATGTATAACAATCCTAAACTTTCAAAAAAAACAAAACAAAAAAATAAATAAATAAATAAATAAAAGATGGAAAGAAACTTTTAATAAGTGATGTTCCATATGAGTATGATGGTCCTTAGGGACCATCACTACTTTCAAAAGCTTTTGGTTTAAACGTTAAGGTGTAATATAATTATTACACTCATGTATGAGTGT